TGACAATTGGATGAGGCTTTCAAAAGTTATCGTGTTAACGGCCGGACGGACACACTGACCGATTCTAGAGTGTACTCATTTTTTTTGAGTACACAAAAAGGCAATGATGACTCATATAAGATCAGAAAAATCAACAATTATTCATGCCGTGCCAGTCCGATCTGGCTGGTTTCGAACAGTACTGGTACTGGTCTAGAAAAACTTCTACCGGTTGCATAGTTACCTCCAGTTGTTACTTCTGATTTCTTGACATAGATTTGATTATCGTTTAAGATCGGTACACATTTTCCTGAAATATACATAATATGTTCTGATCACCTTGATTTCTACTCGAGCTCACCATTATATTTTTCAATTGCTTTCATTACCGATTCTTCTCGTTCAAATGTAATCGTTGCACTACCAGTCAATCTAGTTCTGTTTACTTTGTCTTTGAATAAATGAATAGACGATTTATTTGCCTGTTGGTTAATCTAAATGCGAAATAATCGAATTGAACGTATTTTTGGTAGANGTTACCGACAGTTGAAAATACTTTCCACAATTTATCGAGTAGATGTTCTTCAGATATGTCCAATGGTAAACCACTGACCAATATCATATTTTCTTTGAATCTTTGTCGGTTACCACCAGAATTCCTCTTATTATCAGCAGGGCCATTATATTCTTTTGGTTGTTGATTTTTTGGTGTTGTTGACATCGATGACTGTGTCTGCGAAGGATCTAGAACACCAAGGAAAAAATACATTTCGTGAGCCTTTCACTTGAGTAGGATTGTATGACGACTATCCCAGAGCCAATGTTGCGTCCGTATGGTATGTATTGAAAACGCTGAAAGAAAAAATGTCGAAAGAATAAGGTCGACATTTATTTTTCGGGCTTATTTTTTCGACGTTTTATCTTTCGACATTTTTTCTTTCGGGCTTTTTAATGTAAATCGTCCGTATTTTGAAAGTTTTTCTGTCACTTCAGTGTTTACTATGTGTCTGTTCTGGACCATCTTTAGGTATCAGCTTAGATACCATTTCAAGCACCTCAATCATGGCGTGATTCAGTCGTAATGAATTAATCTTATTTCGTTGAACTGTAGTTCCATCCTTCAGAGGACAGATGAAATCACCATTGGTGCACGAAGCTGCTTTGCGTATACATCCAAAACAATATGTGTGCGAGCAAGGCAATAAACGTGGATCAACAAAATGTTTAAGACATATCGTACAGGTCTGTTATGAGCTTGTTATCAGCGAGACAGCAGCGTGATGGAATGACAACAGAACGGAGTAAAAGATATCCCCCTTCGCATGGAATCGAACCATGCACCTCCTGCTATCCGGGAAGACGTATTAGCCACTGTACTAGAAAGGGTATCTCTACTCCGTCTTACGATCGAATGGGAGCAATCCGATCGTAACAAGGTAACCAAGTCTTCAAAGTTCCTGTTTTCTTTCGTTGTTGACAGTTTTACGGCCATACCGACGCTTGTTAATATGGTAATCGAAATATGAACGATCGAATGAGATGAGTGAAAATCTGAAGTGTAAACGAGCAATTTATTACGAGACATACACACTAAACAGGTGCAGCATACTCAGAAGTATCTAATGTGTAACGGTAATGTACTAAATTTTACGCATTTTCTGATGGAGTGGTAAAACGTTATCCCTACCCAACTTTTGAGTGCTCATCAATTTCTATGAAAAACCATCAAAAACTGCTTTGGACAGGTTGAGCCCTTCAGTCTTGAAATAAATTAATGAAATATTTAACGCAATACGATAGGGAATAGAGCGTTGAAAACTGAATACAATCAGCTATTTAGATGGTATCTTTTATTCATGGGTCCAGTCTTTTTTCAAACACTGTTCGAGACTAGTGATATTTGCCCATAAAAAGGGTCGATTTGGACGGGGTATCAGCTGCCGTGCATCCACATTAGGGACCCCCCCCCCCAAGATCATTTTCACATATGTTGTGCAACTTTCGGTTCTCTCAAGGGAGAAAAAAGCAAGACTCTACCTGTACTCCACCTGTACTCCAAATTATTTCTAAAGTAGATAAAATCTCGCTTTTTCTCCCTTGTGAAAAACTTAGCATCGGGATGAAAAGTGGCTAACATTGTGGTCGAACAGGCGGACACAAAACAAAGAAAAGAACGAAGTCATTTTTCAGTACCCTCTTTTGATCAAAAATTGTTTATCTGAAAAGAATCAGGACTCCATCGAAGATAGAACGGCGAGTG